CTTTGACTTCTTCACTTCCATTGGTTCTTGATCATATGCCACCTCCTGAAATGGATGAACATCGACCAATTCTTTTTGGTACAGTGACTCTGTGAATTCCTTCCATCTTCTTCTGATATTTCCTGGTTCATTCAATATTTTGCCCATAGAATCTCTCTGTATTGCAAGTTGAGGCTTAAAGTTTTTCCTCAGTTCTTTTAGCTTGAGAAATGCCGAGTGTGTTCTTCCCTTTTGGTTTTCTAACTCCACGTGTTGTTTGCACATTTTATTATAGTAATTGGCTTTGTCTTCTTGAGCTGCTCTTTGAAATCTTCTGTTCAGCTCTTTTATTTTGTCATTTCTTCCATTTGTGTTAGCTACTCTCCGCTCAAGGGCAAGTTTCAGAGTCTTCTGAGATCATTTTGGACTTTTCTTCCTTTCTTGTCTTTTTAATGACGTTTTACTTTCTTTATGGATAATGTTCTGTATGTCATCCCATAATTCCTCTGGTTTTTGATCACTGGTGTTTAATGGATCAAATCTGTTCTTTAGATGGTCTCTAAATTCAGGAGGGATATTATTAAGTTCATATTTTGTCTCTTGTGGACTTGTTTAAATTGTCTTCAACTTCATCTTGAACGTGCATATGAGCAGTTGATGGTCTATTCCACAATCAGTTCCTGGCCTTATTTTGGCAGAAGATACTGAACTCCATCGCCTCTTGCCACAGATGTAGTCAGTCTGATTCCTGTGTATTCCATCTGGTGAAGTCCATGTGTATAGTCGTCATTTATGTTGTTGAAAAAAGGTATTTGCAATGAATAAGTAATTGGTCTTTTTGTTGTTGTTAAATCTTTTTTTTTTTTTTTTAATTGTGATTTGGGTGAAAATTTACAGAGCAAATTCACTTTCCATACAGCAGTTCGCATACACTTTATCTCATGACATTGACTACTATTTACCATGGTGCAACAGCTCCCCTCCCATTTCCTACTGATAGTTTTCTCTTCCCTGTGTCCATCCCTCCATGCACTCTTGCCCCTTGAGCTGTCTCCCTGTGCATAAACAGCCCTTCTTTATCCCATGATTGTTCTCTCCAAGGAGTGTATCTACCTCAGGTAAATGTTCAGCTCATGTGCCTGCCTGTCTTTTGTTTGGCTGGAAGCCACAGGTGTGGGTTCAATTCCAGACCTGAAGGGCAGCTAGGGGCCGTAGTCTCAGTGGTTCCACCAAGTTCTGTCAGACCAAAAAACCTGGTCCCCTCTGCCCCCCCTTTTTTTCCCAAATGATTTTGAGTTTTGTTCCACATGGTTCTCCCTCTCTATCTAGGATCTCCTACATAGATCCCCCTCCAAGTGGTTGACAGTGGTAGCCGGGTACCATCTAGTTCTTCTAGTCTCATAGTTGTATAGCCTATAGATCACATGGTATACCAGTCAGTAGGACAAATTCTTTCCATGAATCTTTGGTTTTCTTCATTCTTCTTTGCTCTGGACTAGGAGAGACCCATCATTGCATCTACATGGCTGCTTACAAGCTTTTAAGATCCCAGTTGCTACTTGCCAAAGTAGGAGGTGGAAGGATGTTTTGTGTAGTATGTTATGCCAGTTGAGCTTGATATCTCCTATGACTATGGTTTCAAGCCCACAGATTCAACTATTCAGTCCCTCTGGGTAAGTCATTGGTCTTGCAATATTCTATCATGCGATCTCCAGCGTTATTTCTATCCCCAAGGCCATATTTTCCAACTCTCGGTAACTTCTTTGTTTCCATCTTTTGGATTCCAGTCACCAGTGATAATCAACACATCTTGATTGCATGTTCGGTCAATTACAGACTGCGGAAGTTGGTTGAAATCTTCAGTTTCCTCATCTCTGGCTTTGGTGGTTGGGGGCATATATTTGGATAATACTAGTATTAACTGGTCTTCTTTGTAGGCATATGGATATTATCCTATCACTGACAGCATTGTACTTCAGGACAGATCTTGAAACACTCTTTGTGATGATGAACGCCACACCATTCCTTTTCAATTTGTCATTCCCGGCATAGCAGATCATATGGTTGTCTGAAACAAAATGGGCAAAACCAGTCTATTTCAGCCCACCAAGGCCTAGGATATCGATCTTTATGCATTCCTTTTAATTTTTGACAACTTCCAATATTCCTAGATTCATACTTTGTACATTCCATGTTCCAGTTATTAATGGATGATTTCATCTGTTTCTACTCATTTTGAGTTGTGCCATATCAGGCAGTGGAGGTCTCGAAAGCTTTACTCTATCCATATTGTTAAGGTTGTCTCTACTTTGAGGAGTCACCTCTTGCCCAGTCAAATTTTGAAGGCCTTCCGACCTGATGGGCTCATCTTCCGGCACTATATCAGACAGCGTTTCAAGGCTGTTCATAAAAGTTTTCCAATAATATATCAGACCGTGTTTCACTGCTGTTTATAAAGTTTTCACTGGCCAATTGTTTAAGAAGTGGATGGCCTCTTTGTTTTTCAGAGTCCGTCTTAGCCTAGAAGCTCCGCTGAAAACCTCTTCACCATGGGCAACCCTGCTGGCATTTTGTAACACGGTGACATAGCCTCCAGCCACACAGCAACATGCAAGCCACCACAGGATGACAAACTAACAGACAAGTTTGTCTCCCTTAGTTGTTTCTAACCCATCTGAACCTGTCTACCTTGGGCAATGGCCTTAAAACAGAGCTGTCCACAAGCAAAAAGCAGCCCCCGAGCCCTTGCCCGTCTACCTCAGGCCCCGCCTTAATAAAGAGCGGCCCCCAAGTGAAAGGCAGCCCTGAGCCCTGGTCTGCCTACCCCTATCCTGAGTCCCTGCTTTAATAAACTGCTGCCCCAAGAGAAAAGCAGCCTTCAAGCCCCCAGGCTCGTCTTCCTCAGGCCCCTGCCTTAATAAAGAGCTGCCCTCAAGCGAAAAGCAGCCTCCAAGCGCCAGGCCAGAACAGTGCCTACCAAAGACTAAATATTCTGTCAGAAATGTTAGTAAGGCACTATAGTTGCACTACAGCATTTGAAAGTACAGGTCTTTAGTATAGATCTGAATCCTGACTTCATCACTGATTAACTGTATGACTTTAAGCAGGTTTCTTAATTACTCTTTGACTTAGTTTCCTTATATAGAAAATGGGGAGAACAATGGAATCTATATAATCAGGTGGCTGTGAGGATGAGTATGATATATAAGACACACACACACTTGTGGTAGTTAAGGTTATGTGTCAACTTGGCTTGGCTTGATTTTGAGTGGCTGGGCAGCTGGATGTAGTTATTCTCCATGAAGAGACTGGTATTAAACTGCGTGGTTGAATCTATTGTGAGCAGCTGAGTATCTGCCTTAGGGATGTCATCGCTTCCAGTATATAAGAAGATGCTTTGAGAAAGGTCTCTGAACTTTTTGGCATGTTTGGACCCTGCATTGTAGCCGAGTCTTCATTCAGCAGCCTGCCATGTTGTCTGCTGATCTTGGGACTGTTTCTGGACTTGAACTAGTTGCCTGCCATGTTGCGTGATAATAAGTCCCTATTTGTTAAAGACACCCACTTGTGGTATTGCTGTTAGAGTGACACAAGGGAACCAAAACAAAACTAGAGCTGCTGAGGACCCAATCCCTAGACATTTGTAGGGTTGCATAGGATTGGATGGATGCTAGACATATTCAGGAGCATCGTTGTTGGACAGGATGTGGTGAATAAGGGAGAAGAAAGAATCCAGGTTGATTTCATGATTTAGATTTAGAATTAGAGATTAGGAAACTGGTAGATTTCCCCTGCAGTAGATAGTCTTTGGTATGTTGAGAAAAAATGGTATTGGTTCATTGTGGAAGCCCTCTTTGGGATATTTGTTTGACTTTTCTCTGATCCTTTTCTTTTTCCTCTTTGGAGTCTGTTCTTGGGTTCTCAGGACAGAAACTAAGAAGGGCATAGGGCTGTCTCCAATTTGTGGTGGTTAGGGCCATGCAGCTTCTCCCTTTGCCTGTCTGCTTTTCTCTTTCTCTTTACACATCTTTTCCCTCTCCATTTTTCCCCTACCTTTTTTTTCTCCAATGTGAGAGACAAGAGAAAGGATGTTTCATCCTTGTTTGGCTTTGGCTGTACACTAGCCAACACAATACTAGTTGTGTTTCACAGACCTAGTATTAAGGGAAAACTTTTGGGAGGATATTAAAACATATGCCAGAAAACTGTTGCCCTTGTGCATTAAGTTTAACTTCAACAGATTTCTCTTTTAATTCTGTTCTTCTGATCTGATAGGAGACGGTTTTAGAATCTAGCTTGAACAAAATTTCTGTAACCTTCAGCTAACTCTGAGAATGTCGCTTGACTACGGGGCAAAGGAATCTTGGTGGCTGACTTATAGGTCAGTCAAGTTCACTGAGCCAGGGTTGCCTGCTGGAGCAGTGCTTTTAGAGGAGTGGGACTGGATATGCCTGAGAATCTGAGGTGCCCTAAGCCGTCTCTTCCAACTCCAAAATTCCTTTGAAATCTTTTTAGTTTGAAACGTTACTGTGAATTTTGCATTCATCCCTTTTTGTTTTAATATAAATGTAGCTTTCTTCCATTTTCTTGTGTCTTCTATTTTTTTGCATACTACCTTATTACACAGTTTAAGAAATACAAACCATAAGGACTTGGGCCCAAAACCTTATTATTGAATGTTTCCTATGTATTTCTCATACTTGAGGTTGGCTTTTTGGCTACCTGGGTTTCAGCTTCTTCCTTCAACACATTAAAATTGGCTTCTTGTTCTTGGAAACGCACCCTTAATCATAAGTAATTTGTACAAAAAGCTTTCTGTTTCCCAGAGTTTGTTAATAAATTCACATATTCTATAGAATTTGTTGCCTGGATAGTCATGAAAAAACATTTATTGAGCTCTTATTACTATGTGCCAGTTTCTGTCCTGCCCCTATCATGTATCATGTTATTATGTGGTATTAGAATACATGCTAATGTTATTATTGTTTTTAATTAACAGATTTCAACACTAAACTTGCACAATGTCTTTGAAACCAAGAGTAGTAGATTTTGATGAAACATGGAACAAACTTTTAACGACAATCAAAGCTGTTGTTATGTTGGAATACGTCGAAAGAGCAACATGGAATGATCGCTTCTCGTATCCTTTCAGGGAATCTCGATAAATGTTCTGGAATTGATAAACTCGTTGAAAAGTGAGAACAAGTTTAAACTTATATAAATAGAAGAAATTTCCGGTGTAACTATTTTCAAATATATTACTGTATACATTTGCAAATTCATGACCTGTTTTGTAGAAATTGGCAAACTTTGATAACCTTTCATTCAACAAGTACCTTTTGAGCACTTAACATACACAGTACCCTAAGTACTACTTTAGGCATTGGGAATATAGTTGTGAACAAAACAGAGGCCTTTCTGTTCATTTTAATGAGGGTAACGGCCAATAAACATTAAAAATAATTAAACATATATATCTAATGCCAAAAAAAATACCCAAACTCACTGCTGTCGAGTCAGATCTGACTCATAGTGACCCTCTTTGGGTTTCTGAGGTGATATCACTACGGAAGTAGATTGTCCAATCTTCCTTCCGAATCTAATGCCACTGCCTCTAATTAATGGGTAGGGATGAATACTGTAGAGAAAAAGAAAAGGACGTGGAGAATGTTTGGAGTGTGTATAAGTGTGTGACTCTTTTAGAGAGGGTGATCAACCAAGTCTGCTTCCCTCAGGAAGGTGATACTTGAGCAGAGATCTAGACGTAATGGGGGACCAAGCCATGCATTGTGACAGAGAAGAGTGTTCCAGGCAGAGAAAATAAAAAGTTCAAAGTCTGTGAGATGCTTGCTTAACTTTGTTAGAGAAATTTGAGACCTATGTTAAGTTTGGAATGTAGCATAATAATTTAAATAGCTTTCATTGGTTTACCCACATCTTTTTTTTTTTCTTTCAAATTTTCAAACAGTTTTATTAAGATGTAATTCATGTAACATGGTTCATTCATTCAGAGTATGTAATTGTTTTATAGTATATTTACAGAACACTTAGTTGTGTAACCATCAAAACTAATTTTAGAACATTTTCATCACCCCAGAAAGAAACCCCATACCCATTAGCAATCACTTCATATTTTTCAAGGGGGAAAAAAAATGCAGTTTATTGCCCACATCATTTTTTTAAAAATATATTTCATTGAAATATAATTTATGTATAGTGAAATACACAAAACTAAAGTGACATGAGTCAATGCATTTTTTTTTTTTTTTTTTTAATAGTGTTCCCTCTCCTCCCCTACCACCCCTGGCAATCAACAGAAAATTTCCCTCCATATATAAACCTTTCCTTGACCCTCCACAACAATGAACTAATAATACTGTATTTGTCCTTCTGTGATTGACTTATTTCACTCAGCACAGTGTCCTCCAAGTTCATCCATATTATGTGGTGTTTTGCAGATTCCACATTATTCTTTAGTGCTGCATAGCATTGCATTGTGTGTATGTACCATAGTTTGGTCATCCACTCTTCCGCTGATGGGCACATAGGTTGTTTACATCTTTTTGCTATTGTAAATACTGCTGCAATGAACATGACTGTGCATATATCTATTCCTGTCCCAGCTCTCATCTCTCTAGGGTATATATCTCGTAATGAGATTGCTGGGTCAAATGGTATCTCTAATTCCAGCTTTCTAAGGAATCACCATATTGCTTTCCACAGTGGTTGTATCACTTCACTGTCCCACCAGCAGTGCATGAGAGTTGCAATCTGTCTATATCCCTGCTAGCATTTGTTATTTTCTGTCTCGTTGAACCTTGCCATCAATGCTGGGGTGAGATGGCATCTCATTGTTGTTTTTGATTTACATCTCTCTGATGGTTAATGATTGTGAGCATCTCTTCATGTATTAGCTGGCCACCTGAATATCCTTCTTGGTGAAGTGTCTATTCATGTCTTCGGCCCATTTTTCAATTGCATTGTTAATTCCTTTGGTGTTGAGGTATTGGAGTTTTCTATAAATCTTAGAGATGAGTCCTTTGCCAGATACGTAATTATCAGCAAATAAGAATTTGCTGCTGTCATATTTGTCATGTGCTTTTTTGTGGTGTCAGTTTGTTTGTTCCATATAATTTTGTATGCTGAGCTTGTTTTGTTTATGAATCGTGTTATCACTTCCTTTGTTGCTGTTTTAGTATTTGCTAAATATTTGTGCTGGTCCTCTTTTTTATTTTGATATGAAGGTTTATCATTTTTCTTTGAGATTACCCTGTGATTTATAGTTTTCTTCCCAAGTTTAGAACAGTCCATTCTATGTTGTACTTGTCTTGACTTCCCTAGTATCTATAAGTTCTGTAATGACATAGTTATTTCCCTCTTTTTGGTTTGTAGTTGTCCTCATTTGTCAGTTGATGTCTCTGGTTCCCTGTTTACAATCTTGTAGGCTTATTTACTTTGGATCTTTCCATAGCTGGGTTGGTTTCTGGGTTATATCAACGTGTGTTAATGGTCAGTTGTTACTGGCTGTTTGGTGCTTCTCTGTCCAAAGGGCTCCGTTTAGCATCTCTTTAAGTTTGGTCTGGTTTTAACAAATTCCCTTAATTTCTGCTTATCCGGAAATGTCCTAATTTCACCATCATATTTGAGGGACAATTTTGCTGGGTACATAATTCTTGGTTGGAAATTTTTCTCTCTCAGGGTTTTATGTATACCATCCCATTGTCTTCTCACCTGCATGGTTTCTGCTGCAAAATCCAAGCTTAGTCTTATTGGTTGCCCCTTGTAGTGACTTTTTGTGTGTTCCCATGCTGGTCTCATGATTCTTTCTTTGTCTTTGGTTTTGGTGAGTGTGTTAGATTGGGTTCTCTAGAGGAATACAAAAACCAGCAAAGCGTGTGTGTGTGTGTATATATGTATATATTTAGAGAGAGAGAGAGAGAGAGAGAAATTTATCTTAGGAAATGGCTCACAAACGTATAGAAGCTGGCAAGTCCCAAGTCTGTGGAGGAAATGAGCTGGTGGCAGCCTTAGCTTCCACAAGCACAGGGGGCTGAGAAATTCAAGGCTGGCAGGCAGCATGCCGGTTGTTGACTCCAACGAAAGATGAATCCAATATCTCCAGGCCGAGCGGTGGGCTGCTCACTCACAGAAGTTTGTAGTCAGCACACCAGGGTTCCAATCCCTCAAAAAATGTCTCTCTTCCCAGGATGTCCCTGGATATCTTGGAAGCAGGCCACACCCCTAGGGAAACTCCCCTTGGGCAGACTGGCCACTCAGAACACAGTCATCTGATCCCATCATGGGAACAACCACACAGAACTGGGGTCCGGCCAAGTTAACACACAGCTCCAACTATCACAGTGAGTTTGATGATGATATGCCTTGGTGATTTTCTTTTGGGGTCTATCCTGTTTGGAGTTCGTTGGACTTCCTGAATGGATATATTCTCATCTTTCATCATACCAGGAAAATTCTCTTCCAACATATCTTTGTCAATTTTCTTTGTGGTTTTATTTGTCTCTTCTTGTTCTGGAATTCCGTTACACATAGGTTATTCCTTTTGATTGTATCCCACATGAACCTTAGGCTTTCTTCATCTTGTTTTCATCTTTTTTCTGATTGATCCCTTTCCAAATAAGTGTTCAGGTATTTGCCTTCAATCTCACTAATTCTGTCTTCCATTGATTCAATTCTGCCTCTTTGCCCATTCAATGTCTTATCTATTTCTGTGAATTTAGTATAAATCTTCTGGATTTCTGTGTTTAGATTTCGTATCATTTTCTAATTTTTCATTTATTTTGTCATTTTATTCTTGTACCGTCTTTCGAAATTGTTCTAGGGTTTTCTCAATTTTTTCACTGTTTTCCTTGATCTGTGTCACAATTTGTTGAATATACCTAAATATGATTCTTTTGAATTCCGTATCAGGGAGTTCCAGTGCTGCGTCTTCCTCAGGGATGTGTTCTAGATCTGTATCCTGGTTGCTTGTATCTCCTGCTTTATTTTGTGTCTTTATGGGGTCTGTGATGCTCTGTTGTCTCCAAGCCATTGTGATGTTTTGTGTTTATATTTAATTGGTGATTGTATGCTGGAGTGACTTCTCCATGATTTTCAGTTTCTTTATTTTGTTTGTATGTTATCTACACAAGCAGGGTACTATACTGTGTTCCTTTATTTACTAGTTGACACCACTTATACACTCACCACCTGTCTCCTTTCCTGTTGTCAGCCTCTTTATGTTCCTGCTGACCTTGGCAAGCAGAGCCTATTCTTGGGTCCCTGGAGTCTGAATGAGAATACTGTAACTTTAAAATCCAAAATGGCTGTGCCCTTGGTGACTTTAAATATCCAAAATGGCCGCCACTTGTAAACATTCAAAATGGCTGCACCCTTGGTCACTTTAAATATCTAAAACGGCTGCCATGTGTAAACAATAAAAATGACTGCGCCCTCTGGACAGTAGAAAGTCAACAGCTCAGGTTTACTCCCTCCTTGCTTTTTCCCTTCTTAGTCATAGGCCACCAGTACAATCGTCCCTGCAGCCCGTGGTGACCTGAGAGGACCTTTAGGTCAATTTTCTGGTCCCAGCACCACTTGGAAATATTCAGGCTATTGGTCACATCAGAGTAGCTGACACTCTGCAGCTCCGACTGTCTCTGTACTCATGGTTTTGTTCAGGTTTTTCCACTAGTTGGTGCCTAATCCACTTCTGTATAGTTCCTTTCAGAGCTCAGGGCTCCAGGATTATCTTCTGTATCTCTGTCAATTGGTTTTTCTTTTCTTTGTTGAAGAGGGTCTGTGTCGCTTGCCTGCCTATGCCTCTATCTTCTACCCACATCATTTTTGCTCTAGAAACTCTTTTCATATAAAAATACTTCTATTTGTAGTCTTTCTCTTTTTTTCTCATTCCAAAGAATGAAAATCAATACAAATATATGAATTAAAAATAATTTGTTCTTTATTCTTAACTGAGGCTTTAAGCAAGAGCTAGGATGTCTGTTTTACTTCGTACTGCGTTGTTTCAAAATGGATAACTTATCTACATTTGTTAATTGGGAGACTATATGAAGTCCAAATCTGTAGTTGCTTTTGGACAGTCTGAAACCTGGTCTCTTGTATTCTTGCAAACCAGCAATCTGC